GCAGCCGCTCGGCCTCCTTGAAGGTCTCCTGCAGTCGCTGGTTGGTCTGGCGTAGTTCCCGGATATAGTCACAGGCCTTGGACAGGATGCCCCCTTTACTCTGGAGTGGGGAGGGGAGCAGGCCAGAGTCAGAGGACAGGACCTGCTTGCTGTGCTCGGCATGGGGGACTGGGGACACTCACCGCTCCTGTCTTGCTGTTGTCTGTGTGACAATCTGGAATGATGGGGGTACTGGGGACACTCACCGCTCCTGTCTTGCTGTTGTCTGCGTGACAATCTGGAATGATTTTTGAAAGCTGGACAATCCAGTTGTTAATCTTGTCCCTCCGTCTCCGCTCCACTGCAGGGGACAGTGACAGGCATGCCTTCATGGACAGGTTCACAGAAGCCAGTGTGGTGCACTGGTAAGGACCTCAGGGACCCTAGGGCTGCCACCTCCCCATGGGCCACACTGCTCCATGAGAAACACAACCACGTCTCAATCGTCAAGGGCCACGCTGTTAGGACAGAAGTCCACACTGACAACTAGCCGCAGGCTTGTTTCATTGCCTTCCGGGCACTACACACACTGGATCCAGCATGTAAAAACCAGTGTCACACACATTCGGGCCAGCTGAAAATGCATCCCCGGGCGCTGGGACTCATCTTTCTTTGAGGGGCAGAACCCAGCAATCCCACAGCCACTGTGACCATTGCATTTCTTTCTCTGTATGTCCCCAGAGACTCTGGCTTCTATAATTTTGCTTTTCTCATCTTATTTTGTTCCCTTGGGGAGAGGGCCTCATATAGGTCAGGCTGGCCTCAAACTGTGGAGCCAAGGGTAACTTTAAACTTCTGACCCTCTTGTCTCCATCTCCTAAGTAGCCACTACGCTGAGAGTGAAGCCCACACTCGATCGACTGAGGCCTGGCCCTGTGAACCTCACCTCCCAATGTGAACCCCAGACCTTGAAGGCAAAGGATGGCAAGGGACAGACTTCACTTCAAAGCCCAGACCTGTGCTTTAATTAACTCTGTAACCTCCCACTGCTAGCTATACCGAGGGACAACTGGCCGCAGACATGGCCTGTCATATGCTTAGGGTGCCTGTCAGGAACTACCTGACTTGGAACCAGGTTCACAGCTTGTTGTAGCAAGACTTCCCTCCCGGCCCTTCCTTACCACATTGCAGCCCAAAAGACCCTGGTAATCCCCAAGTCCCCTCATAGGCCTATCCTGTTGTCAGGCCTATCGTGTTGTCAGGAGGGCTGGAGACAATGGTCAAATTTGTGGAGGGGATCTGGGGCTAGAGCCTGATGGGCTGTGGAGAAAACGAGGGCAGTGAGGATGGAAAATGGGTAAACTCTAAGGGAGGGCGGGCTCCTCTCTTCAGACCTGAACTCACGCCTTGCCATGGCAGTCCCTTAAGGGACCTCAGGGTGCAGGAACAGGGGAGGCCACTGCCTCTGCTCAGTCAGTCTACTGTCAAGAGTCTCCCCCTCTGTCCACTCCCTCTTCACAGCAATCAATCTTTCTCCGAGATCTTTCCAGTGTCCTGACAGACAGCCATGCTGAGTGTGGTAAGGGAGGAATCTCCACTAGGCTTAGGGCTGGCCCACTGTCACCATCCAGTGTGGCAGAATCTTCTGGGAACCTGGTGGTGGACTTGCAGCGGCAAAGCAGTCTAGCCAGGGCCTAGAAGCACTGCCCACCAGGCTCCCTGGCACAGTGCTCCAGGGCTCACTCAGCACTCCCCACCATCCTACCCTCTACTTTTCCAGAGGCTAGGCACCAGGCATTCGCCTCACTCATGACCACACCTCAACCCATTAGGGTTAAGGGTGGGTGGGTGTGGCAGGGTTCCTTTGGTGTGTATTCAATTCTGCAAAATGTACAAGTGCACGGCTTTAACCACGGATGTCATCCAGGGTGGACTGAATGCTGGCTTTGTCCTGGTTGGTGCTCAAGACAGCACTGTAACGGATGTACATGGGGATGGGGATGCTGTCCCCAAAGTAACTGTGCCCAAGGAAGGGCAGGGTCCCTTTCTGCATGGGGCCCACAGTAGGATAAATCTCCAGAGAAACTTTAAGGGGACCCCAGGAAGACAGGTAATAAGATCCCACAAAAGATGACACAAAACACTTTTGGGTGTGTGTGTGTGTTGTTTTTATGTAAATTGTCTACAGCTTGTGTCCAGGTGGTAACGTGGTTTGGCTTGTGGCTTGGAAAAACTAATAGGACACACTGGACCAGCAAAAGGCCAACTGTCTCACAGAAGCCCTGCAGTTGCAACACTGCACTGAAAACTCCTCTCACAGCCAGGTGTGTTGGAGCACAGCTTTAATCCCAGCACTTAGAGGAGGCAGAGGCTGGACAGAACTCTGCGATTTCGAGGCTAGTCTGGTCTACACAGTGAGTTCTAGAATAGCCAAACTGCAGATCTACAGAAAGATCCTGCCCCCAAAACCAAAATAAATCAATAAATCAATCCCACACCTTACAGTACAACCTGCTGAAGGCCAAGTGGGACAAACCTAGTGGGAGACATTAGCTTGCCTCTCTCCAAGAAAACACCAGGCTGGAAATCTCCGGCCACCTCAGCCAGCCTGGCCTCCCTGTGGAGGGGACCTTTCCCAGCAGCAGGCACAATCCACTGTAGTACACGGGGCACCTTCTCCAAGCTAGACCGGATGCACAACCCAGTAAGTCCTACACCTTTAAAAAACTGGAATCACACAAAAGAGAGATCTTAAGCCCCACACGTCTGGAAACTGGGCACCATGCTTCCTGAATAACTGGGGTCAAAGAAGAAATCATAGGAGATGTGGAAAATATTTTGATATAAATGATAATAAAATCATTTATACAAATGGGACAGTTAGACAAAAGTCTGAAGCTATAGATTTACATCAGGAAAAAGTCTGTTTGTTTGTTTTTTGGTTTTTCAAGACAGGGTTTCTCTGTGTAGCTTTGTAGACCAGGCTGGCCTTGAACTCACACCCCAACCCCCCCCCCCCCCCCCCCCCCCCCCCCCCCCCCCCCAAGCCGCAAGTGCTGGCATTAAAGGCATGCACCACCGCCACCACACTGTCTGCTTTCTTTAAGGCAGGTTCTTACTATGTAGTCCAGGCTTGCCTTGAACTCACAATTCTGCCTCAGCCTTACCAGTGCTGAGCTTACAAAAGGGCACCATACCCAGCTTAAAAAGTAAAGACGTGGGGAATCCCTGATACTAGGGAGTATGAAGCAGGAGGCTTCTGAGTTCAAAACCAGCCTGGACAGATTAGTGAGACTGTCTCAAAAAGATTTAAAGAACTGGAAAGGCTGGGGACATAGTTATATAGTTCTTTCCTAGCACTCAAGGCCCTAGGCTCTACCCCAGTGTCTACCAACAAAGAACTCTCTGCAAGACCACCACCATAGATTAAGACTCTGTTACAAACAGTGAAAATAATAAAACACAAGAACCCGGCTCAAGATTTAAAGTCAGGTTTCATGTAAGACCCGAATTTCCACCACCAGAGATAGTATACTCTGCTACCAGTAACAACAGTCTCTCCACCTACCCCTTGGTGCAACAAATGTTTGCTGCTCTCTCAGGGCCTGGCAGGTACCTTCTGGAGCCCCCAACCCCCCACCCCTGCAGAAAAGCCAGAGGGAGAAAACTTATGCTGGTGGAGCCCTGGGAAGGCAAGGGTAGAACTCTGAAAGTTGCCCTGCCTGCCTCATTTCTGGCAGAGAAGCATCCACGGGGCCCCTCAGGAGGTTAGGCAGCGTGCTCTGTGTGGACAAGCTGGGGTAAATCTCAGGGGCAGCCAGACACCGAGAGTTTGAGCTGCAAGTTCCAATGCCCAAGGAGTAGACACTTCATCCTGTGGTGCCATGGGGGGGGGGGAGCCCTAGGAAGGTGGGAATTTGCCTACCACCTTTCTGGAGAAAAAGAAGTAAGACTTCCGGTGCTGGGGATGAGTCTTAGAGGCCAGACAACTAGAGCTTCTCTGCCGCCCTGGCTGGAGCTTACTAGTAGATGCAAAAGGGACTCAGACTGGCTTTAAGGAGCACCCACAGCCAAAGCCAGCTCCAAGTTCTTGAGGGTGTGTGTGCTGGGAAGAAGTCAGCGAGAA